TTTTAACACTTGTCTTTTTGAAGGTAAAAAATGTACAAAATGACCCAAAAAATCAAGTGTTAACAAAAAAAAAAAAACTTTAGACTAAGTTATAACATATACATTGATGAGATGCTGATTTTTTATATTGTAAATTATTTTTTTTAAACTTTTAATGGAATTAAAAGTTAAAAATAATTTTATTAACAACTCTGACTCTAGATTTTTTTTTTTTCAAATACAACATTGAATTAGAATTTTTTTAATTATTTGAATCAAAATTATTTGTTATAAATATTTGTAATAACCATTTTTAATTATTTAATCAATACATATATGGATACTCTTATTGGTACTATAGTCCAATAGTTACAACACTTGATAAAAAGATATCTATAACCTCTATATATAGATTTTTTGTATTCCATTTTTACTCAATTGGTAAAAGAGATATTTAATCAATTGGGCTTAAATGGAAACGAAAGATCATGTTAATTATACAATGGATTTTTGAGATTTCTCCCTCTTGATATCTTTCATCCTTAAAATAGAAATTCAAATTTACAAAAATACCCATATATTAAAATGTATAGATATATGTACACGTACATCATGCATGCATATAGGGTAATGTAATCCTCGTTGATGTGCATGCATATGCAATCTCTGTTTAGATCCTTTTTCAAATGTCACTGAAATCTCAAAATTTTAATTCTTGTTTTCTTTAGAGATTGCCAACTGAAATCGAATTTGACTTCCTTTCATAAAAATCTTCGTGGGTAGATAACGCGGATCGCGTTGGATTACATAATTTTGTGTGAATTTTGTTTGTCTTAAACGTGTCATATAATACGACAAAACATAAGATTTTATAAGTAATTTTTAACGTCACTAAAACTTAAAGTTTAAGTAATTCATGCACGTGGAATGCTATGGGCGAAAATCTCGCGTGAATACATATTTTTTAATATTTGAGAAAATAATAAAAACAGTTATTTGAGTATCAGTGATAAATTAATTTTTTTATTTATTAAAATTTATAAAGTAATTATTCTTGATCAAATTTGTAAAATGATTAAATTTTTTTAATTTATTTTATAGTTTTCCTCATATTAAAATTTACAGTTCCATTTAAAAAATAAATAAAAATATTTACATCAATCCCATGGAGACCTCCTTTTTGTCCAGAAATTCATGGTGTTGATATCACATAATCTCTCTTGATTGAGTAATCTTCTTTTGGATTTACCTCCTCCCTAATCAGACCCTGTAAAATCATAATCCCCTCAGATATCGCCATTAAAGTACATGATCAAGATTCTTTCTACACAATGGAATTATCCCCACTGTAACCCTATAAATACCTTGATCTTCATCCATCTTCTTCCTCACAATCATCACAAACCTTCTCTGCAAATTCCTCATTATATATTACGCAACTAGTCTCAGAATGGTTACTGGCCAAACAAGCTCTGTCTTGGCAGCCATGGATGAGTTTCATCCTTTGGCAGCCATGGATGAGTTTCATCATTTCCCATCATATGTATCAGCAAATCTCCCTTCTGATATTGTTGCTGAAATTTTCTCAAGGCTCCCCACCAAATCTCTTGCTCGTTTCAACTGTGTCTCAAAGCCCATATATGCATTGATTCACTGTCAAAGCTTCATCAAGAATCAGCTGAAGAAAGCCAAGGAAAGAGACTTACCTAATCTGATTTTCAAACAGGACTTCAAGATGATCTGCGTTGAAGACAAAAACTGGAGACGAACTCGAAGATTGAACCCACCATTCTCAATCTTGCTTGACAAAGCCGAGCTTTCAGGCACCTGTAATGGCCTTGTTTGCATTTCTGATCATTCCAGAAATGAAGATATCTTTCTGTACAACCCCTGTACAGGCCAATACAACAAATTACCAATTCCCAAATTCGACATTCCCACAATTGAACATTCTTGTTTTACTGCTCTAGGGTTTGGTTATCATCGTAAGGAAGATGATTACAATGTCATGAGAATGATTTATCTCTACGATAAGCCATTTAAGAACATTGATTCGTACCGTGTTGAAGCTCAAATCTACTCATTGCGTGAAGACCAATGGAGGAAAACGGTTAATGTTCCTTTTCATATTAGCTCTCGAGCAGCAATTTGGCTTGAAAATGAAGACACTCTAGTTTGGAAAGCGTCTTGTGGATTCGGCCAAACGATGAAAGTCCTCATCGTCTCCTTCGACATGAGCAGAGAAGCTTTCGAAGAGGTCACTCGACCTCCGCTACTCATACAACCTGAAGACTGCCAGATAGAAATCAGTGTTTTGCAGGTTACGGAATAATTTGAATTTCGAATTGTTCTCGATAATTAATCGACTCTTTGAATTAATTCAAAACAATGATTGATCTACGTATTTATATATAGATATATATACTGATGTTGCAGGGCTGCTTTACTGTGTTTCATCTATGGAGGAACGAAGCTGTGGAGATGTGGACGATGAAGAAGTTCGGAAACGAGGAAACATGGACTCGGACGATGGTGCTCGCACGACCGCTGATCCGGGACCTGTCGTTCATGTACTTGAAGCCGATTTGGGTGAAGAAAAACGGCGATGTGGTGGTGGAGAAGAGCGGGAACAAGTTGATTATGTATGAGCGGAGAAAGAGAAGAGTACGTGACTTCGCCATTGTTGGAGCTCCGAGGTACGGTTTTGCAGCCACTGTATTTGATGGGAGCCTGGTTTCACCATTTCCGGCTGCTTACAAGTCCCCATGATTCGCATGAGGAAGAAGACTCAGGTGGTGTCAACTGCTAGGGTTCTTCAAGTGTTAGGGTTCATGAGTCCTCTCTTAATTTCGTATCTTCTTCTTTTTTTAAGAAAAAGTTGTTCTTTGGTTGAGAATTTTAAGTTAATTTTAATTTGTTGAAATATGTTTCTTATCTAAATTAAAACATAGTTCTAATTATGATTTCCTTTTATATATCCTAACTTAAAAATTTACAAAAAATAAGTTTAAAATTTATCGAACATGCATTTTTTTTTTGTCATAATTTGATATTTTGGCATCCTCGGGCTTAGAGGATCAATATTAATCCATCTCGAACTTTGTGATTAACTCTACTATAGTTACGATATTATGCGAATTGGTCCAAATAGAGAGAAAAAAGAAATATTGAAAAAATATAGAGAACGTAAGATGATCAATTAGTCAGATTTAGTATAGATCATATATGAACGATAGTAAATTTTCTAGTTACTACGTTTTAAAAAGTCATAAGATCTTTTGACAAAAATAATAATTGTTTAAAAATAACGAGCATGAGTTTCTCGATTATTTGCATTAAAATTAATCAATTCTATTTTTTGATAGAAAAAGAAATATAACTCAGTGATAAAGTGTTATTTTAATTTAGTCAAAGTGTTATTTTAATTTAGTCAAAATATTTTTATAAAAAATAATAATTAAATTTGAATCCTATATCACGTGTGTTTAAAAAATAAATAAATAATAAAGTTTAATATTAAAAAATAAATAAAATTTTAGTTTAAGAGAATAATAAGTAACTAGATAAAATAATAAAATATTATAATACTTCAAAAAAAAAATACTAGACTACTTACATGGTTAAAGAAAACTTCTTTTAATATTTTATACTATTAAGTTCTTAGCAATATCATTGATTTTGGGTCATATGAAGTAAATATTTTTTCTAG